AAAATAGATATTTATGAATAAATAATTTTTGAAAAAACAATTTGCGATAGTTTTTGAACAGACTTCGTATATGAAGTGTATATGAATTTACATTACAACTGTTTCAGTCGTTTTACTTTAGAAACTGTTCAGGAAATGCCTATTCTGCAATATTTGTTACACTTTACAACAACCCTACTTAATTTAAAAGGAAAATAAAAAAATGCTAATTGAATAAATGTGCAGCAGAAGAACTAGGGATATAAATATAACGATTGTAAATTTCTTTGATTCTACTGAATTTTATTGAAAAGCGACTTTATGTGTAAACTACCTTAAAAAAATTATTCCAATGTATGTTTGTATAAGTCACGTCTTTTAATTAAGAAAGTAGAATTAAAGGTTAAATTAATTAATTATTATTATAGCATTCTTAAACATTCCAGAGGTTAGTTGGTTAATAGTATGTGATTTTTTAATTTTACTCACCAAATTAATTATCTAACTTTTTGAAAGCCAGTTAGTTCAGTGGGGCTTTTCCACGTAACAAATAACTAAAAAGAAATAAAAGTATTATAATACATGGAGTTTTGTAGTTAAAGTTTTAAATTATACTTATATTACTTATAATACAATGCAATACTTAAATAGTTTGTAATATCACTCTGCTCTACAAAACGAGCAGTACGTTTTTTGTGATTTTGTCATTTACCACTAACCTTTGACTGCCAGTTTAACAAAACAAATATGTATATAACAATAAGATCTAAAGCTTCATCTAATTTCTGACGTCTTTTGCATAGGTATACAGCAGTGTTGTAACAGACCTCTGCTTCCGCTTCCGAAATTTCGGAAGTTCCGCATACATTTTCACATCCCCTTCTGCATCTGGTTTCGCATTTTTATAACGGAAGCTTATTGGAACTTAACAAAATTTTATTTTTCATCTTTTTGAAATTCGATATAAATATTATTATTATAAAATTATAGCCGGAAAAGTTTTGTTAATAATAATATTGTTGTGCTGCTGAGTTAGTAGATTTTAATTTAAGTGAGGGTAATAAAAAATTGTTAGTTTAATGGTATATTCACATAGTTATATCAGTACATATCTAGTCAG